AAAAAAAAACAAGAGAGACTTTAACTGCACCGCACTCACGCAGAGCAGTTTTGAAGTCTTTCGTTTTTTTCAGTTCTGCAATCTTATCTTCAACTTCAGTCTTCAGCTCTGACAAAAAATAAATCAGTCACATCAAAACTCAGTCTCAGACACTCCGAGGTCGAAGTCAGATTCGCAACTTACGGTTTCGTTGTTGTTCGAGTCCAGAGCACTCATGTGTCTTTAACAGCAGTTGCCTCTCCAACTCTGCTCAGTGAAAAAGGAAATCCAAGTTAACAAAAACTGTCTCTCTGACACAAACTGTTAGTTATGGATTTATTCAGAAAAACAAAATCAACTCACCTGCGAATTTATCCTTCATAAGAGCATATTCCCTGTTTTTGTTTTGAAGAAACATCTGAAGGACTTTAAAAGAAAAGAAATGGACTGAAACACTATGGTGCAAATTAGCAACATGAACATCCTGCAGCAAACAGCTTTCGATCTCAGGCATGTGGCATGAATGTTGTTCCGTTCGCTCTATGAAAGCCCATTTCGCTTGAAGTGATACAGTGACTGTAGGACATACTTACGAGTTAATGTTAAAGAGGATTCTGCGTTATCGTCACGATTTTCTCTTTCAATTCTTTTGAGATGTTTGTAGAGTTCAGCGATAACCAGAACTACAGAAAATACAAAAGTCAGGGTGTATAGAATTATGTTTTAGGCTACTTCACAACAATCAAGATTGATCCAAGTGTTTTTCTGGACTTACTTAATCTGGCATTAGCCGGATTCTTGTTATTCAGCTCATTGATATATTTCTGTAGCTCGGCTCTCTTCAATGTAAGCTCATCTGTTAGAGTGTTCCTTATGATCACCATGCTTGGAGCTGAAAGTGACACACATGTCAAGTTGCTACAGTAACATTATGACACTCTATGCTAACATGAGGTCTTGGGTGAGATACTTACAGTTTGAATTGTAGGTTTGTGACAGCAGCGTCTCCAGGTGCTCCAGCTGACTTTGCAGACTGATGATTTTCAGAACTGAAAAAAAGGTTAAAAAAAATGTAGCTGACTGCAAAAGATACGACTGCAGAGAATTTTAGAGTTTCTCACAAGACTCACTCAGTTTTGTGTTTTCACCGGCTCTGTTGTTGATTTCATCGATGAAGCCGTCAAGTCTGTCCTGTAACTCTGAGGAAAAGGAAAGTATGTATTTAGATTATATTTTGCAGGTTCTATCTTGACTTTAAACAACACTAACCCTCTTCTCGATCGCTTGTGGTTCCATTGGTGGCTTTGTTCCGAAGGGTCCATAACTCATGTTGCAGTTCAAGGATCTTTAAAACTAAAGCAAAGCAACGTGCAGTCCTTAAGTTAGAAAATGAATCTTACTGCAACAATGTCTACCAATTTTTTGCTTTTTGTAAGCAACTCAGAATCTCATTGGTTCCCTTCTCTCCCTGTGCCACTCCAACAAGTCTCTACTTTACACTCTTTTGAACTAATGATTGATAAAACATAAACCCCCAAAACATCCAGCATATCAAGCAAAGCCTCTCTCAACATTATTCTTTCACTCTGCTGTTAATTCATTTTCTTTAATCTTGGTTTTTGCAGGTTTACATGTGACCTTAGTTAGATTTAACCATAAAAGCCATGATATGTGACAGTCCAGGTCTCATCTGTATTCAGTTTGTGTTTGACTAGCTTGTGATTTAATAGCACGACAGCTGAAAGCACAAGGACCTAGCAGGGCGACTATTGGTGGATTTGTCTAAAACAAGGATCAGAAAGTCGTCGTGCATTTCAGCCGTTTATTAGCTGCTTCGCATTAAATGATTATACTTTACAATCCTTAACTCTGCTGGCCACTAGAAAGGAAGCAGTTTAAGGTTCTTCCACACTAGTTTTCCCTTTAAAACTGGATGTTATGTCCCTTTTTAATATGCACTTTATGTACATAACTGTGAATGTCAGTTTGAGTTTAGCTTAAAAACAATGGTTAGCGTTCAAACAATAATTCTGGTTCACATAAAGTAAAGTCAAGAAACTCACTTGCTCCTGGGCTAGAAGTCAGACGTTCTATGTCTGCAATTCCTGAGCTCAGTTCTTCTTGTTTTCTCTCCAGTTGTTTCCGTAGCGCTGTTGGACAGAAATAGGGGTTATTAAGATGTTAAAAATATCAGAGAAATTCCCAGTTTTCCCAAGGAAAATGTAAAGATGTAATTTAATTGTCTCAAGTGCAAAACTGTTTAAAAATTGCTTTAAAAAAATCCACTTAATTAATAGAATAAAATCAAAGGAATGGTATATATCTGTGACTTCTGTCCCTCACCGGAGGTCAAGTCTTTGTCTTCTGAGAGAGAGATCTGATCCTTCAAAGACTTGAGTTCATCATGCAGGCTCATCAGCTTTACAACTGGAGCAGAAAGCAACAGAAACATCACTACACAGATCACAAATTCAACACAACGAGATTACAAGCCGAGCGAGAGACACCGCTGAACACTGCGTACGGCAACGTGACTCACTGAGAGCTGGTTGGAAGTCCTCGGTTCTGTTCAGTTCAGCAATCTTGCGGTCAAAGTCGATCTTCACCTCTAACAGAAACGAGACACATGCTTTAAAATCAAGCAGGAATAATCAGAGGTTGTAGCTGAAAGCCATTTTAAAAACTTACGCTCATATCTTTTCACAAATTTGGAATCTAATTCAGTCTTCAGTCGCAGTTTCCTCTGCAGCTCTTTTGTATAAAAGGATAAAATCAGGTACTTGAAGCTCTTATCAGACACAGTTTTCAAAATTTCTAAAAAAACAAAACAAAAAACAAACTACACACCGAGCACTCACCTCTTATTTTGGCCTGAGCTTCGATGTATTTTTTTTCTGTAACTCCACGCACAGCTGCAGATTTAAAGTATCATAATGTAAGATCGCAATCTTAATGTCAAGGATTAAGAAAGTATTCTCTGCTCAGAAAACAAATGATGTTAAATGTTTTTCTGAATTTAACACTAAAGTTAGTGCAGGTGGACTTACTGGTGGGCTGGCCTGTCAGGTGCTGCTTTTTCATTTCTTCTATTAGGCTGATGACTTGCACGACTGTTCAAAGACAAAGAAAACACCATTGTCTTGAGTGTTGGGCCTTAGCAGCACATTTATACGTGGTGAGGTTGGTGAGGTGATCATTCCGCTTCTCCTTTATACTTACTCTGCTGTGCCTTAACATACTCCACTGCTTCCAGTTGCCTCTGTAAAACGTCATGCCTTTGCTTCTCTCTGTCCAACAAAACGCGGAACCCTAGGATGAATAAACAGCTATTAATGTTTCTACTGCAATTAGCAGTAGTTCCAAATAAGACAAGTACATATGTGACTTGACTTCGTAGTGTAAAGTTTCAAAGATTTGTGCTGCCATTTACCTTGAATTTGGGAATCAGTGATGTTTTTGGCGTTTCTCATCAGCTGTTCAAAATGTAGCACCTCGGCCTGCACTCTCATAATTTGCAAGGCTGTCGAAAGAATCAAGAGGGTGTCGAGTTGATGGCGCAATAACTACACAAAGGACGTGCTCGACGCTGAATGCTCACTTACTTAGTTCCCTGTTGTTCTCGTCATCTTTCAGCTGTATAATCAGCTTTCTGAGGAGATCAATCTTTTGCATCCATTGCTTCCTGGCATCTGAATTTAAAAAAAATTTAATAAATAAAGTAAAAAAACGAATAAACGTGTGCTGCTCCACAAAGGAGAGACGGGATCTACAACTCACCAGCGGCGAAGGTTTTGGATTTCTCAATAGCATTGATGATCATCCTCTTCAACTCTGCAATCTTTGTGCGCACATAAATCAGCTCCAGCACTGGACAGCCAGCAGAGAACGAAGTGTTGGGAAATGTTGAAAGACAAACCTTTAACATTATTACTCACACAAGAAATGCAGGCCTGTTTAGAAAGATTCACTTACAATTAGCAGAGTAGCCATCTCCTTTTTCTTGCAGCAGAACGATCTTCCTGTTGAGCTGTTCTTTCACTGAGCAGCAGAAGAAAATGGTCAGGATACAGAAATATAATAACATAATAAAATGAAAGAAGATGACCTTTTCTCCCAGTTTAGCATTATATTAATCTGAAATCTAAATAATTATTAAATATTTCATAACACCTATTGTAAATTCCTTAAGATTCTTTTTTTTTTTTACGGAATATGCAGCCATGCATTAGATCAATTTCAGCAACCATCACTTCTTTGCTCCATTTTGTCCTGAGCAACCAAAAAGTTACCAAAAAACTAAATGGATTTCATATAACAGTGTGTTATGCAACCTTCACGCAGAAACCGACTGTGACCAAGAAAGAAGGAAGTGGGAGACCACAGTGCACAGCTATGCATATTTAGGAGTTAAAATGGTACCACAGGAAAAAAGCCACGCTTGAGCTGTGGCTTCAAAAATGAACCGACTCCCAGAGATTGCCACATTGATGACACTTCTGCTGCATCTTTTTTTCCAAAGAGGTAGCCATCAGCTCCAGATCAATATGTTCGAATTACTACAGATACCAGACACAACCCTTTATCTCAACATGGAGCTAGTACTAGAAATGCTCTACCTTGTAACCCCATAATGCGAGGTTTATATCCTCTCCTGGATCTTTTGCGTGGGGGCAAATGTATTAGCCACTAACCACAGTGCCACTCGCTACAGTAGCTACATTACAGCATTAAAAAGCATAGTTTCAGGTGCTGCTTTAGTTTAGTGTAGTTGACTGGGTGACCACTTGCTACAAGGCCAAATAAAGTTGCTCACCTTCAACTCTGTACCCAAGGCCTCTTGTTGTCTAACAAATGTTAGCCTGAACCTTCCTGCTGTTATACTGCAATGGGCCTAGCTTCACTCATGTTTTTTTTTAAATTCTTTGTGTTTATACACTACTTTGCATTTAATGACAAGTTATTATTAATCTATGGACCCATCTCCAACCAGTCACGGCAGACGGCTGCCCCTCCCTGAGCCTGGTTCTATTAAAAGGGAGTTTTTTCTTCCCACTATCGCCAAGTGCTTGCTCATAAAGGGTTATTTGATTGTTGGGGTTTTCTCGCTATTATTGTACTGGAATATACTCTTTGTTATTTACAACATGTCTGATGTTATATGAAGACAAACACTTTTTCATGAATAACTGACGTTTAAAGGGTAAGAACTTTTACGTTTTAATTGCAATTTATTTAGACAAAATACTAAGCTGTTGTTAGCAGCACTAATAGAGAATGTGAAATGAAGTTTAAAAAATTAGCCACCAAGGAATGGTATAGTTACTGAACAATGTGTCAATTTTTCTGCCTGAACTGTGGACAAGCAATTTTCACATAATAAGCAAAAGTTTTTTTAGTTAAATCAAAGAGCCCGCAGTTTACCCAGAGTCATGCCAATTGAACTCCCAGAGTTTGGTTTTCCCCCTCTTGTTTCTGCCTCTTGTAAATCCCAGAGCTGATTCTGCAGGGAGATTATCTGAAGTACTAAAAGAAGAGGGAAAAAAAAGAAAGCAATGAGCCATTTCCTTCTGCTTATATATGCATTCGCACAACACCAGCGCCTTCGGTTGACCTTCCGTTCCTCAAATGTGGTTCAAAAATACACTTACTGAGAGTTGCATTTGAAAGGCTTTCTTCAGCTTCCTGTATCTGATCTCTGAGTTCAGCCGTCGTCTTGTCCAGCTCTTTCTGCAGCTCTGCAGGAAACCAGTTTAGAAATGAAACATCTTCATTCAGTTTCTGTGGCTCCAACCAGAAGAATAGCACTCAAGTGGAGGCAAATTCAAACATTTCTCAGTACTGCAAGATAAGCACATCATGCTAACGATAAAATAGCTCACCTGCGATTTCGTCTGCAGTTCTGTTAGAATTAGTAGCAAGCTTGGTCTTCTCCTGCAAAGTGCTCACCTCCCTGGTGAGTGTCATTATTTTAAAAACTGAAAGAAAGAAAACACTTTTACATAAAAGCTGAACTGTGCAGCGTCATATGATTAAAATTATAATACTAAATCGTGACCTGTGCGAGAGATTTTACTGTATTTCCAAAAAACTTACGGAGAAGTGTGTCACCATCAAGCTTCTCCAGCACCTGCTTCATTTTGAGCTGCAGATTGGGTTGGTACGCTGTCAGGAAATCACACATGCATTTTAACTTTTGCTGATATAAATTGTTTCCAACTGTTACATATGTGCAAGGAAAGGCTTACTGCCAGATGTAGACGATGCTGTTGACATGCATGCAGCAAGTTCCACTTTCAGCTGTATGACCTCTGTCCTCAGCCCAAAGGCCTCGTCACCTGTAAGAAAGTGTACAGGTTGCAGCAAACCAAAGCAAAAGTAGGCCTACTTAAACTCTTCGCTGGATGTATGCTCACCGAGTTGGTTGTAACGGTGATTCGCCTGCTGAAGTTTCCTTTGTAACACCTCCAAAGTTTCTTTCACACCTGATAAGGAAATGTTAGGGTGACACGAATGAGGACCCACACACACAGCTTTTTGTGTGTTTAATTGTTCGGTACTTTTCACCAACACTGTCCCAGCTTTCCATCTGCCACTCACACACAACACCCCCACCATCTTTTATAGGGGAGACATGATCAGATGATGGAGCTTAGGTGCGTGTAAGCCTCCCCTGACACCGTACCCTGAACCCACTGCTCCACCCCTCCCCTGCAGCTGAGCCACAAACCCCAACCTGCCACTGTTAGCAGTATCACATATTAAAGCAGCAAGATAAACAGTCTCACTGCTCACCCACTGTTTGAAACTAAGTATTTCAGCTCCTCCCCTCCTGTCTCTTTAAGACTAATTTCTTCTGACTGGCTGCGCTTTGCAAACAGAAGATTTGAACAGAAGGTGAGTAGCGCATGTCTGCTCACAGCCAAAGCTCCACCTGAGAAGGCCAAATGTGGGCAACTGGCTAAAACAGAGGGCTTAGAGCAGTCTGAAGTTTTTGGCTCATTTGAAATAACTTCTCTATAAGCTGACCTCTTTTTTTTTCTTACTTTGACCATGTTTAATGTATTAAATATGTATGTATTGATTGATTGAGTCAAACACAAATTTTTTATGTAAATTTAAGAAGTTCATCCAATATCCTTAAAAGTTTCAGAGGTAATATAACAACAACAACAATAATAATAATAATAATAAGCAGACATCTGCCAAGGCAGCTCACTTTCTGTGCAGTATTTACTCTTAAGGGAAATTGAATTGTATTTTATATATATTTAATTTCTTTGTACTTTTTAAATGTACTTTAAGAAGTTAGTAGCGCAGTAAAAACAAGAGCAACGTGCAGCCTTTTGTTATTCGCCCTGCTGAAACCCATTTTAATATACTCGACATGATTTTGTTTATAATTAGTTTTACACAATTATATATTATATATAGTTACTTAAAATTATTTTTTTATGTGGCTATAGCATGTGTGCAACATTCATTTCAGTAAAATTTGTTTAAATATTTAGTAAATAAATATCAAGTGGAAAAGAGTTTTTGCACACGAGTTGATTTTGTTTTCAAAAAAGTATTCGGGAACATTGTACTTGTATTTAAATGGTTATAACCTGTTAAAAATCCCCATACTGGGGTGGCTGTAGCTCAGGTGGCAGAGCAGGTCAGCCACTAACCAGAAGGTCGGTGGTTCGATCCCAGGCTGCCTCCTGGCTGCATGCCAAATATCCTTGGGCAAGATACTAACCCCAAGTTTGCCTACTGGTGGTGGTCAGAGGGCCCCGTGGCGCCTGTATCTGGCAGCCTTGCCTCTGTCAGTGCGCCCCAGGGCAGCTGTGGCTACAATGTAGCTGCCATCACCAGTGTGTGAATGTGTGTGTGAATGACTGAATGTAGTGTAAAGTGCTTTGGGGTCCTTAAGGACTGAGTAAAGCGCTATACAAATGCAGGCCATTTACCATACTGTATATCATTTCCTACACGCCTATAGAAAGTAGTAAGAAACCTAGTTTTAAAGAGCTCTATATAGGAATATTATCAAGTCAATCTATTGACCTTAAAGTTGGGGTTAGAGGTCAAATGTGACAGGAGGTAAACATTTAAATGTAAGATTTTAGATTTAGTTTTTCAAATCTTTATTTATCTGACTAATAATGTAGAGACAACACTAAGACACTCGCTCAGCTAAATACTGGCATCACATTTTGAATCTGTGTAATGCACGCTCAATAATCCAGTTATTAAATCCCAGAAACTTGGTTCTGTTCATGTGGATGCAGCATATTCAGTGGGAAACATTTTTTACATCACTTATCCGAGTGAGTTGGACGTCGCTTGGATGAGTGAATAAAACATTCCAGATGAGCAGAAGCAGCTTACTGGGAACATGTTTTTGGATTGTAGTGTATTGTTAAATAAAATAGATGTAAAAAAAATAATAAAAATCACTTACCGGTGCAAGTTTTGATGACAATTGACTGTAATAAAACATTTGATCTTAGATCAGTTAAAGATAATATAACAAGTTTCTTATATCTATCGTAAGTAAGTAAGTAAGTAAAACTTTATTTATATAGCACCTTTCTAGATAAAAGATCACAAAGTGCTTCACACAAGGATAACAAAGCATAAAACAAAACAGACGACAGTTAACAAACAGCAATTCTAAAAAGATGTGTTTTTAGTTGTTTTTTGAAAGAAGCTACTGAGCCCAGCGATCTTATACTCAGTGGGAGATACAGATACAGATATACTAAAACTTTTATTGATCACAACATTTATAGAGATAAATCACATGATGTAATAACTATTTAATGATTACTACTTACCGTCACATTTACAGGGCTGTTTTGAAAGTCAGTGGATAGCTAAGGTAAATGCACAAGAAGAAATGTATCATTAGTAGTAGCAGCCAAACTTCTGCTCATCTCTAAACATTTGCTAAGTCACATTTTCTGGGACTTACAAGGATCCTGGAAAGGATTGCGTCCAAGTCGGGATTCCCAGTTCTGACCAACCTGTTGTGGCCTGAAATAAACGAGAAAACATAAATATTTACATTTTTGTTGTTGTTGTTGTTACAGGTATTTGTTTAATTCAACCCCTATTAACTGACAATAAAAAGGACGATATTATTTCCCCCTACCAGCTCTGGGATCAGAAGTGCAGAGTACACAGGTGAAGAGGAGCGGAATCCAAATGAATTGAGAACCACCAGCCATGGTTTTTCCTTCCAAAACCTTCTTCTGCTGTCAGCAGCAGTCAGCGGGCCTTTTATAAGACTCTGACTGATCAATGTCCAGGGGTAGTGATGACTTCCTAGAAGAGGCGGAATAAATAAATGACTTAATTTGCTGTAAATGGCAAAAGTTAAACACAGCCAACTGTGCACACAAATAATAACAAATAAGCAACCGTGTCTTTAAATTAAATTCCTCGCCAAAAAGGAGAGACCTTATTGTCTGATTTATTTTGACATTTTTATTTGTCTCAAACAAACATTGCGCTAAAGCTCAAATAAAAATCAATCACGTTCAAAGTACCAGTACGAGAACTTTTAATCACATACAGTGCCTCAAAGTCTGTGAATTGCTTTGGATTTTTCTCAATTTCCACTCTTAGCTTACAACCCCCCCTCCCGAAGATAAAAGATAAACTTATTAAACCTAAATAGATAAACATACAAACGTCATCATCTTTGTTTGAGGAAATGAGTAATGCATATGTGCAAGTAAAGAAAATAGGGGAACCTTTGCTTTATTTTTGCATTTGCAAACATAATTAAAATGACATTTGTTTCTTTTTTTCCACCCTGTCTTGTCAGGGAGCTTTTGCAATCAGACACATTTAGCTTTTCCGAGATTAGCGCTGCAAACTCTCTATAGGCTCCTCTCGTTCATGTGTTTCTGCAATTACACATTTAAGTGTAACTCTGGGCTCCGTTTCCTCATATGAACTGGTCGCTTTCAGATCCTTCCCCAACATTTGAATTGGAAGTTCAGGACGTTGACTTGGCCTTTCAAAAAAAAAAAAAAAAACAAGATTCTGTGTAATGGATTTTACGCATTTGTTTCTAAAGCAGAAACGCCTGTAGGTTCAGTTGGAGCTACTTTTATGACCACCAACACGGTGAAGGTGCAGGGTGAAGCATTGAGGTGTGTCTCTGGTCTATGCTGAAATGACAGATGATGTGATTTTTTAAAATTACATTTGTGGTGGAATGCAGGATTTATTGTTCCATCAATAATAACATCCAGCCTAACCTGGCACCGTAATGCTGGAATGAAATGCTTTCCTTTCTCTAAACTCATTTGAAGTTAAAAGTCAGATTTTGCTCTCATCCCTCCACAAGACATTGTTCTAACAGTCTTCTGACTTGATCTTTATTGAACTGCACAGGCAGATGACCTCTTGGAGAAACTGACTCTGTTCCTGCGTACGTTGGTGGGATTCTTCATATGAACTATGCATCAGGTTCATCACCAACATTTCATGGATTAAGGTGAACCAAATGACTGGGTCAATCCAAAACATTTTAACCTGACTGTGACTATTTGACCTTTCCTTGGTAGAAAAACAACATGTGTTATGTAAGGTGCAAGACTCGCTTCCTCTTATATTGAGATACAAAATGTGCTGACATTTTTGTTATGAAAATGTTGCTATATTTCCAAATGGCCTGACGTTGGTAATGAATGTTTGTGACCTCCTGAACTGCAACACTCCTTACAGTTTGAGTGAACGTTCTTGGTCAACCACTTACCCCCCCAAAAATCCTGGGTATTAGTTGACTCCCTAGGAGTGGTTAACTCCCTAGTCTTTCTTGGGAAGTGGTTGACAAGGAAGTTTGAAAAAACTTCCTCTATTATCTATGCAACCTGACTGTATATTGGTGTAGTCCAAATGTGTTAATCTTGTGACCTTTTCCAGCCTGATGAGAATCAAAAATGCTAAAGTGTGAAGTTTTCAGGAGTCTTGTGTTTTTGTGCCATAATGCACTTCTGACCAAAACGTGCTGTGAAGATTAAACCCAGATAAATCTGCTCATCCCAGAGTTTAACATACTTCCCTCCCTCAAAGGTAAAATTCCTAAATTTTAAAAAATGACCACAGAAGAGTCAGCATACTTCACTTTCCTCTGGATTGGGTAAGTCTTAAGTGACCCAAGTCCGACGAGATGCTTCTATAACCCTTTACGGCAGCGGTCCCCAACCTTTTTTGCGCCACGGACCAATTTAATGTCAGACGATATTTTCACAGACCGGCCTTTAAGGTGTCGCGGATAAATACAAAAAAATAAAATGATACGACCAAGACAAAAACTGTGTATTTTGTAAATATAATAATAAACGCGAATTCATTGTGTAATTGTGTAACTTTATTGGCAGCGTACTTCTTAAATGTCCCTTAATGCTCTCTGGTCACTATGGTAACGCATAAATATTTCTTTCAAAATAAGACACACAACTAAAACACAGGAAAAGACCCAGGGAAACCGAGTTAACGATAAGAACCCTTAAAACCGCTAAACTTCACACCCGAGCTTCAACTCTCGCGGCCCGGTACCAAACGACACACGGACCGGCACCGGCCCGTGGCCCGGGGGTTGGGGACCGCTGCTTTATGGTGAAGATCAGCAACTCAGAAATGACCTTTGTTCATGCCATGATTCACTTTCACAAACATACATCGTGTAGATCAGACACTGAGAAATCTTCTTTAAATAAAAACAAGACACTCACTCTCACATCTGTCATCGCTGAAAGCACTAGACTGGGAGTTCGTCTTCATATTAACATGTTTAATTTAATTTAATACAAAGAAAACATAAAACCCCAACAATCATATGAGGTGAGGGGTGGAAGACAGAACAAGATGCACTATGGAAAAGAGTCCGGGATTAATAATGACTAATAATTAAATGCAGATTGGTGTGTAAAAACATAGAAAGTAGAAAAAGGTGAGTGAAGAACAAACAGTGCAATGTGGGAATCTCCCAGCAGCCTAGGCCTATCGCAGTGTAACTAAGGGAGAATTCAGGGTCACCTGATCCAGTCCTTTATCAAAAAGGAAAGTTTTATGGCTAAATTTAAAAGTAGAGAGGATGTCTCTCTCCCAAATCCAAAGTGAGAGCTGGATCCACATAAGAGAGGCCTGGAAGCTGAACAACTAATCCCAAAGGTTCACCTTCTAAGGTCAGTAGATCCAACTGACCACTCTGAGGATCCAAAAGCAGAAGCATGAAAACTGACAGCATTGAACTGAAAACAAGCTGTTTATTTAAGCGAGCAACACAAAAAGGGAAACCTAAAACTTGGAGACTCACTAAAATGATCTAAACAAGGGGAGACAGCAACTATATATACAGACAACGAGACAAGGGAAGCAAACACTAAAAGCAAATCAAAGGGAAGGCTAACTCTTTTAGAAATAAAGCAGAAGGTGCAACAACTAAATAATGGATGAACTTAATACAGGAGACTTGGCACAAGGGAACAGAAAGAACACTGAGGGAAGAATTAAACTCAAACATCATACCAAATGTGGCAGGTTTGCAGTTTATTAGGATTAATTTCTGCAATGTAGACATCTATCAGGATTTTCTCCTAAATGCACACGTAGAATGAGGAATGGAAGACAATAGAAGCTTGCGACATTTGCCCTGAGGCACTATCAAAGCACGGCCCACTGATGAGAATAGTTTGGCTGATTAAATACAACTTCCAGTCTGAGTTCGGTTATCTCTTCCGCTCAGCTTTTGTAATAATGCCAGTAATCAAGAATCACTGGGTTCATGCCCCACTACCAAGTGACAAAAAGAGCAAAGGTCAACAAACTGTAGACGTAACTTGTGACCATGTCGACCTGTGCGAGTGAGTTCAGGATGATATGCTGTACAACCATGTTTGCAATGAAAAGAGAAAACTTGTGTTTCTGTAGGAAACACTGTGAGTATTTGGGAAATACAGAGTTCAACAGAATGTTTCCCCCATTCTCGTTGGATGGCAAGTTTTTAATGATGCCCCTGATGATGCCAGTGGGCAGTCTGAAGGTCACGATGAAAAGGTATGCAAGATGGGTTTGAAAAGAAGTAAAGCTCAGAGTTTGTAGGAGGGACCCACACAACCTTCAGGATTTCACGACTGTGAGGAAGAATGGACAAAAATCACACCTGAGCAACGCATGCCACTAGTCTATATGCGGGAGGAGTCTTCAAGCTGTCACCAACAAAGACAACCTTGTACAAAGTTAATTTCAATTAGTGCGTTCAATACTTTTGTTCCTGTGTCATTTCTCACTATTACACAAAACTTAATTCATGAACATCTATTCTTTGATTAATTTGCATGTGTGGATTGGATGGGCTGTTACCAACATCTGGTGAGAATTTCATGTCAAGAGGACTTTTAGAAATATATTTACTTACACAATTGCTGACGTGTTCAATAAGTACTTACCTGCTGTGCATGTTTCAGAAGCTGCAATATGAAATAAACAAAGACTCTACAAGTAATTAGAATTTTGGCAACGCTGCAAACAGTTTGATAAAAGTAACCCAGTTCAACATGAGAAAATATTCCATAATACTACAAAGTGTAAAGTGTTATTGATAGTGTTTGTGACGATGTTGCTCTTTTTACTACAAACTATTAACTGAAAATAACTGGCTCTTGGTGAAGATATGCTGGGAACTGACAGGTTCTGACAATGATTTACTAGATCTGTTTTAACCAAGGTCATTTTAAGTGAACTGACAACACTTAGCAAACATTCAGAAACTAAGTGCAAACAGTGTCATCTAGTCCAAAAAACAACTTTGAAATTAAAAACCAATCCAGAGAGATCTTTTTACAGTTTAGCTACT